ACACAAGTTCAGGTTGAAGGTGAAGAAAATTTAAACAAGTCCACAAGAGCCAAAATATTACCTTGTGTATATCCCACCTGAATTTAAAGACCATCAAGAATAGATTTGATGCATTCAACACTAATGACCGAAGACCAGACAAGTTGTGGGAGAACATCAAGGACATCATACCTGAAGAAAGCAAAAGGTCATTAAGAAGACCAGGAACGAAAAGACCAAAATGGATATCAGAAGAGACTCTGAAACTGGCTCTTGAACTTAGTGTAGCTGAAACTAACAGAAAAAATGAAGTAAAAGAGCTGAACAAAATTTTAAAGGGTGGCTAGAGAATACAAAGTAAAGTATTATAATGAAATGTGCGAAGACCTAGAGTTAGAAAACCAAAAGGGAAGAGCATGCTGGGCATTTCTCAAGCCGAAAGAACTCAAGAAAAAAATTAAAGCCTGAAGTTTCAATTTTGAAGGATTCTATGGGTGAAATATTAAATGGTGCAGGAAGCATCAAAAGAAGATGGAAGGAATACACACAGTCACTGTACCAAAAAGAATTGGTCGACATTCAGCCATTTCAGGAGGTAGCATATGATCAAGAACCGATGGTATTAAAGGAAGAAGTCCAAGCTATACTAAAGGTATTGGTGATAAACAAGGTTCCAGGAATTGATGGAATACCAACTGAGATGTTTCAACAAACAATGTACCCTAGAGGTGATCACTCATCTATGCCAAGAAATTTGCATGACAGCTACCTGGCCAACCAACTGGAAGAGACCCATATTTGTGCCCATTCCAAAGAAAGGTGATCCAACAGAATGTGGATATTATCAAACAATATCATTAATATCACACACACGTAAAATTTTGCTGAAGATAATTCAAGCAGTTGCAGCAGTACATTGACAAGGAACTGCCAGAAATTCAAGCCAGATTCAGAAGAGGACATGGAAGTTGGGATATCATTGCTGATAGATCTTGGCTGAAAGTAGAGAATACCAAAAAGATGTTTACTGTGTTTCATTGACTATGTAAAGACATTCGACTGTGTGGATCATAAAAAAAATTATGGATAATATTGCAAAGAATGGGACTTTCAGAACACTTAACTGAGGCAGTCGTTCTAACAGAACAAGGGGATACTACGTCATTTAAAGTCAAGAAAGGTGTGTGTCAGGATTGTATCCTTTCACCATATTTATTCAATCTGTATGCTGAGCAAATAATCTCAGAAGCTGGACTATATGAAGAAGAAGGTGGCATCAGGATTGGAAGAAGACTAACTATGTATCTGCGATATGCAGATGACACAACCTTGCTTGCTGAAAGCGAAGAGGACTTGAAGCACTTACTGATGAAGATTGAAGACTACAGCCTTCACTATGGATTACACCACAACATAAAACAAAAATTCTCACAACTGGATCAGTAAGCAACATCATGATAAACAGAGAAAATACTGAAGTTGTCAAGGATTTCATTTTACTTGGATCCACAATCAACGCCCACGGAAGCAGCAGTCAAGAAATCAAATGAATTATCTTAGGTGAAAGGAAGGACAGCACACACTACAGGGGAAGTCAGCAAAACTGGACTAAGCCAAAGCTCAGAAGTTTCCTGAATACAATCAAACACTTCGAGGGACAGAGTAGCAGGGGTGGGAGTCTCAGGACCATGATTTCAGGGGACATCTAGGTCAACTGGCATGACAAAGTTTATTAAGAAAATGTTCTGCATCCTACTTTGGTGAGTGGCGTCTGGGGTCTTAAAAGCTAGCAAGTGGCCATCTAAGATGCATTAAT